ACAGGATGGGTCCCTGTAATCTATGTATCTGTGTCCACTCCAAAGACAGTTTATGAAACCCCATTGATGTGTTTAACAGTCAGTCTAGGGACACAATTAATTCAAAGCACAGGCATTTAACAAAATAGGAAAAGTAGCCCTCTCCTCCCTTCCACCCTACACATTTCATCTATATACTTAGAACACATGTACTTAGTGGGAAGAATGGACGCACATAGAGGACATGTATGGAGAAACACATATATGGGGAGCATGTGTGGAAAGGAATACATATGGTCGGGTGATTCATGCCTGGGTTGCTGCAGGGCTGCTAATGTCTTTTGTTGATGTCATCGTGCAACTCCACTAGATTCATGATCTCTGCCAAATGCTGCCAGGCATGGCCCCATTAGATAGCTGGCTATGGAGCTTCTCTCTGTTGCCAATTTCTAGCTTCAGCTGAGGTGCTTCGTTTTAGTGCTCTCTCTTCCTCATGAGAAGAATAGACTCTGCCATGTTCCTTCAGTTAATAACACCCAAACTTTTTTTCAGCTCTTTTAGGGAAATCAACAGCCTTTACTTCATCCACAGTACAAGCAAAAGTGGGGGGGGGGAAAAGAAAAGAAAGACACCATACCGGCTTTTTTCATTTAAAGAGTAAATGTGTCACTCTCCTGAGTCCTGGTTATATGGTAGGAGAACTATCTACCAGAATTCTAACAATGTGGTTGGGAATAATTCTTTTCCTCAAAAGGCATTGGAACTGTCTTGACTGGCTCAGGGTTCTAATTACATAGGTACAAAAAAAAATATGAATTCCAACACATCTCTGAGACTTGACTAACAGCCTACCATGGGTAACATAAAGGCAGGGAAATCAATTGAAACCATGTTGTATCCTGGGCTGAACACCCTCTCTGCTCTGTGAATGTCCTGTTACAGTTAAGTAAACTTCCTTTTACCTTCCATTAGGTGGAAGAATCTCATTTTATTCTGACCTCAAACCTGAGGTACCAGCCCAGCCTGATCTACTCAAGCAGACTGCAGGTTAGAAGACCTCCTTTTTCAGTAGAAAAGTTTTTTCCACAGTTACCAAAATTGATCAGACACTGAGGAGAGCCCTCCCAGCCAGCTTTTATTCTTGTTTAATCTTTTGTTTGGACCAAATTTCCTGGTCCAGGGGCTTGGGTCTCTGTCAGAGAATTCATTGTAGCTATGGTGAGCATTCTTTACGGCTTCCAATTTTAATACTACTCAGCTGCATTCTTAATAATCTAGCAACTGCCAAAAAGCTCTTAGGTCTAGGATCCCCCATTTACTTGACTCCCAAACCCTTCTTCTCTCTCACATAAATGGATTGTACTAGTGCGCCTTACCTTAACAGAGGCACAGAGACAAAACTAAGCAGCTATTGTCTCTCCCCTTTCATATGTGTGTGCGTGTGGTAGTCCAAAAGTCTGTGCAGTGTTAAGCCATTAAAGCTTAACAATACACGAAGGTTTTAGGGATTATATACACATATATATGTATGTATACACAACATATATACATCTATGTAAGCACACATATTTGTATACATACATATGTCATCAGAAAAGTTGGAAAAAAATGAAGTTTTCATCTCACCCTCACAGAAGAAATGAGTCATTAAGATCATAGGATCAAAGACATAAATTTAGAGCTGGAAGAAATCCCAGAGGCCATCAAGATCAAACCTCTCATTTTACATACGAAGCAATTGAGAACTGTGGAAGTTAAATGACTTACCTAAGATAACACAGGTTGTGTCAGAGGTAGAATTTGAACCCAGGTCCTTTGACTCCAGAAGCAGAGTGCTCTTTCCACAAAGAAATACACTTGAGAAGGGGATGTAGGGTTATGGGTTGCCTCTGTCTGGTATATTACAATATTTAGGTGGCATGCATAGGATTTCATAGCAAAGAAGATGGACTTTATGTAAATGTTGATGATGACAACACAGCTTAGACCCTTCCAGGCCATTAAAAATACATAAAGAAAAAAAATAAGCTTATTCCAGGGCAGGGGTTTTGTCTTATTTATTTGCATATCTCTCTCAGTACCTAGCACATAGGCATCCAATAACTGTTCGGTGAACTGAGTCAACTGTGGTTTACACACGTGTGCTCCATTTAACTTTTCACCATCTGTGGTTTAGAGGCAGCTAAATAGTGACGGCTTGGCTTTAAAAAGAATGACAAGTACTACCCTCCTCTCGTTTCACATTCCATTTAGGATTAGAGTCCTCATCGTCCTTTGCTGGGGAGCAGCTGTGAGACCGCTGCCTCTTTTGTCAGCCCCCCTCCATCTCCTTGCTCCCGCTCCCAAGCCCAGCACCACACACGGCCAGGAAGCCACGCAACATCCTAGCCCTGGAATGCCAGTCCCCCTCTCCATACCCCATCCAATAAAATGACAACCCAAAGATAATTCGACCACAGCACTCACACACCCCTACCATGGGGATGAGGGAGATCAATTTCCTTCTTCCCAATTCCACACTCGCCCCACCCCTCCCTGTCCCACGGCAAGAACGACAGAACCCAGACCTTCATGCTTAAGTTTTGCAGAAGCGAGTGGCGCAGAGCTCCCCAACCCCTGTCCTCCAAACCCAGGAGGTGAACAAGTGTCTATAGGAGCTGGTGGAGGTTGTGGGACCTCCTCCTCACCTCATCACAACCCTCCTCCCAACACAGACGCACACGCACATACTCTCTCTCTCTCTCACACACACACACCATACATACACACACACACAGCACTCGCCCCTTTTCCTCCCATCTCCCTCCCTTACACGTCACGCAGCCACTTCCCCCTCACGGCGCGTGCGCGGGGCTCGGCTCCACTCGGGCTCGGGAGGAGAAGGCAGGAGCTGCTGCTGCTCGCGCTCTGCAGGAGAAGCAGCCGCCGCTGCCGCCTGGGGCATCCTCCTCCTCTTCCTCTTCTTCCTCTTCCGCCTCCCCCGTGTCTCCTCCCCGCTTCCCTGCCTGGCAGCCGCTCTGCTCCCTTCCCCTCCTCGCCCCATCGGAAGCCGCCTTTAGGTCTTCAACCCTCTGTGTCTTCCTCCCCCCTCCCACCGCCCAGCGGGAACCGGGGGACCCCCGGGGGCGGCGGCCGCTGCTGCTGCCGGAGGGGGGACGGGCTGCGATGAGGTTGGTCCAGAGATGCCGGTCCCCTTCTTCCACCCTTTCCTCCTCCTCCTCCCCTGGGGCGGCGGCGGGGGCGGGGGGCGGCGAGAAGCAGGGGCTGGCCCCTCCTGGGAAGAACCCTTTCGTGCACGACCTGCGCTTCACCCCGTTGCAGAAAGTCCAGGTAGGTACCCAGCGGTGGCCACCCTGCCCTCCTCCCCCTTTCATCTTCGTCTGGTTAGGGTTTCCCTCAGCCCCATCACTCACTGCTCCCTTCGGCATCTCCCTCCCTCCCATGCCTTTTCTCCCGCCCTCTCTCCCTCCTTTCATCCCTGCTCCATTGAGGAGGTGCTGTTGGCTTCTTTCCCTTCTCCATGGCAGCGGAAGCTCTTCCCCCCCACCCCACCCCCTTACACTTCTCATCTCTGAGGGGTAGTGGTTGGAAGGTGTTAACTCTGTGGCTTCTGGAAAGGATCCCTTCGTCACCCCCTCCTCGCGCCCCCTCCCCCCCACCTCTAGAGTCATCTTTACCTCCAGGGTATATATCCGCTCTTCTGGCAGTTGAAGGGAGAAATGTACATTGAAGAAACCTGCATACCTCCGGGGCCCCCTTTTTTTAAGGATGTCTTTAGGCATCACTTCAAATATCCCCCCATGTGGCTGACTTGCTTGCTTCTTCCCACAGTAGGGTAAAAACGCCTTCTGTACTTAGTGATTTGTGTCTTCCCTGGTTTCCAGACCCTTGCTTCCAAACCTAGGTTGGATACATGTCTGTTTTCATATGTAACTGTCTATGATCATCGCATTAGCAGAAAAGAAAAGAAATAACTTGTTGGTAAGGTTTTTACTACAAAAGTAATGAGGGTGCTGTGGAACGGTTTCCTAGTAGAGCCCTTTTCGTGTAAGGACAAATGCTTGGGGTGTTTTAGGTGTGTTGAGTTAGGAATACTGAGAATTTTTAGATTGTTTGAGTATTGATTGAGCACTTTCTTAAAAAAGGCAATCAGACCACAAACCTTTACTTTAATGTGAAGTATATTTGGTATTTCTTGAAAATAAGCACATGTAATTTAGATTTTTCACCCTCTACTTAAAAATGATGTTTTAGTGTGCACTTTCTGAGATGGGTAACCTAATAGTTTTGACTTAAGTTAGAATCACTTTTACATCATTTAGATTTTCTGTACGTGAAGTATTGAAAATTTTCTAGTGTATTTTTTATATGCAGTAATACATTTCACTTTGTAATGAGGAAAATGTATGTACCTTTACGAAGTAATACAAAAAATTATCTTTTTATTTTTATAATTTGTCTTGATAGCTTTTGCTTTTTACATCACTGAAATTTCTCCCGGTATCCCCTCTCCCAAAATGTTAACTATTTAATATTTTACTTCAATTGGCAAATTCAGACCTTTGTTAGCATTTGTTGTTAGCATTCATGTTTCCTTTTTTTCCCTTTTTTTTCCCCTTCACTTTAAGGGATAGAATATATTGAATCTTCTAATTTGGCATCCTGGGAGTATCAGATTACGAGTTTTGTATTTGTGTTTCTTTGAGGTGGCTCAGAAAAAGGCCTTCCCTCTGGACAAAACATGTAGTTTTAAAGATGAAAGAACTTCACAAGGCACCAACAGAACTTAGCTTTGTGGGAAAGACATTTCCAACTCTAAGAACTTGATTTGGAGAAAGAAGACAACTGCAAATGATTGGCTTTTTCAAAGGCTGTTTTGAGTTGATTTTTGTTAGATTATTTTAAAGGGCTTTTTAAAATGGAATATCACATTTTAGATAACAAATTAAGAAATTTAATAAAGTTTTGTAATTGGGATTTTACAACCATATGTGAAATTTTTTTAAAAGTTGATTGAGTTTTGCCTGAGTGGAATTCTATGCAGCACCTTTCTTCTTTGAAGATCAGACTGCTTCATGAATATTCTTCATTCTGTGGGATATAAAGTACTGGGAGTGAGGTTAAGGAGAAAAGAACAGAAACCAGAATATTATTTCTGCTCCTCCCTCCCTCTGCCACACAAACATACACTTTCTCCAGTGTATGCATTGGCTGGGGAAAATGCAGGGAAATTAATAAATTTTCACTGTGCTAAAAGCAAGGGAGCGGAGAAACAAAACCAGTAGAAGATTCAGATCGCTGATTCCTCCTGCTGCAAACGTTGGAAGAACCATTGTTATTCCCATTTCACAGATTGTGTGACTGAAATCCAGAATGCTTGGTTATTCATTTGGAAAGTTGGGAAGTAGTCCAGGTTTTGTGATAATAGATGTCTTTTCCTAACAGATATATTATTTGGTATCAGTCAGTTCTGGACTTCCTTGCTACCAGTAATTCAATTAGACTAGCATTAAGGGAGAAAATGACAGTCCTTGCCTTCAAAAAGTTTACAGTCTAATTGTGGGTAGGGTAAGATATGTACACAAATAGCCATGATATAAATTAGAATAAGATTAAGTGTAGAGGAGAGGTCAGTGATAAGAGATTCCAGGAGGAGAGAACTTACTTCTAGTTGGAGCCATTAGATAAAGTCAAACCAATATGTAGTGTTACAACAAAATAATTACTTTTAAATGTTAGCTAAAGCTTCACATAATTCATGTCACAGTGCCATTTCCATGTTTTATATCTTCTAGATTACAGTAGCAGAAAAATACTTTCCCTTTCCTAGAGCAGTTTATTGCATTGGGAGGAATACTGACCTCCAAGTCAGAAGAATTGGGGTCCAGTACTAAGTATCCTATATTGTAGTGTTGTAACCCTCTACAAAGTCACTTCCTCTCAAGTTTTCTCATCAGCAAAATACCTTCCGAGATTGTTGTGAGGAAATTGCTTTGTAAATATGTAAAAATTTATGTAACTGGGAACTGCAGCCAAACAGTTGTGAAGCAGAATGGCAGTAAATAGTGAGTGAGTCTGGTTCTAAAGCTAGTAACACCTGGGTTGAAGTCCCACCTCCAGCATATTTGGCTGTGTGACCTTGAGTGAGTCATTTATTTCTCAAGTGCTCTACAAAGCTCTCAAAAACTAAGTGACTGAAAAGGTAGGTGCTGACCTGGAGTTTCCTCTCTTGAGAGTTATCAGTACCAGTGAAATCACAAGTCCACTCCCTAGTGGCGGAGTCCTACAAAGTTCATGCATGTGATAAAAAAAAAAAAAGGTTTCCTTTACCATTCTTTCTGAAAGTATTCTCCTTTTACAAAATTATACTGAATTTTTTTGTTTTTCATCACCTTTATTATTTGAATATGTACCCCAACCCTACTCAGTGAGATAAACCTTATAATCATAAAAAAAAAGAAACATTTTGGGGGAGCAGTTCAGCAAAAGTAACTGACATCACTTGGGTCTGTCACTATGTCATATGCAATGAGGAACTTTTAAGGCCCAAATACTTGGCTTTCTCTATCTGTGGGTATTCTAGTAAATAGGACCATTGATTTGGTTGTGGGTGTTAGTGTGCTGGGGCTATTTCCTTCCTCAGACTTGCCCATCTGTTCTTTAAATACAGATTTAGCAAGGAGCTGGAGCTTTTCTTTGGACTAGAAACAAAACACCAAAGATAATTCAAAAGAGCTATCAAAACCATTTGTAAAATTTGAAATGAAATATTGAAAAAGTCTTTTTGACATAAAGCATAGGTCTTTTTTTTCCTTACCAAAGAAAGAATATGAATGTAGAAATAAAATTGAATTCTGGTGATTTCAATTAAAATTTCACAATAAAATGCTAGTCTTTTAATTTTATATAGTTGGTGTATTTGTGTAATTTTGTAGCATGCCAGTGTTTTCAGTGGTTTTGTGATTAAAACAACCTTATTTAAATTGACTATATCATATCTTACTCCAGATTTTCTGTTGAGGAGTCTTCATTCTCTTGTTCCTTGATCCTCAGAAGACATTTAACATTAAAAGATTAAAGTGAATTTCCCAGAAGACAAAATATTCTGCCTATACTAGTTTGAGAGCTGAGTACCTAAGAGATAAGAGTCATCTCTTGCTGGAAATAAAATATTTACCTCTAGGAGTGTTTGCTGACATCACCAGTTTCTTGACTCCCCTCCTCCCACAGATGTAGTTTACTCTAATCCATAGAAGAGGATTATTGATGATGATATCGGATAAAGACGACTGTTCTGCCCTACAAACTAAAGGAGATACTGTAATTATTGTCATATCTCTTGTAGTGCAATATTTGAAATGCAGTGAGGTTGGAATAGGTTGCATAACTACTCTCTAGGGTTTAGAGTATAGTAATTGATTTTCTGTAGAGAACAATTAATTCAGCATCTTTGGTCTTTTAGTAACCTTTCTTAGAGTTTCTGTTTAGTTAGATATCATATAATTGTGCATAACATTAGGGTGGGGGGGATTTTTGTTTGTTTTTTAAAAGTATGCGTCACCCCTCAATCATATAACTTGGAATTAAAGCCTGGTATATACTTTTAATAGAGGTGTATGGATTCTTATGTTTTAAGTGAAAATTGAAGCAAAATTACCATAGGCACACTTCACTTTGTGTAATAAATGTATTACTGAAAGAGTACATTTAGGTAAAATTTTTATAATGTGAATTCTTTTGAATTCACAAAGGGAACTGCATATACTTAAAGCAAATCTGTCCCTACAAAAAAGTAACTCATTCCCTTATTAGTTTTATAAATTCAGATTCTTTATGTTTTTAAAATTAGATTATAAATTAGATTGAATTTAAGATGACAATATTTAAACATATTCAAAATAACTTGTATAAATAAATTAAATACAGTTTTCAAATAGAAATTTTGATAGGGTCTCAAGTTCTTATTTGTGGAGGAATGATTAGTTACTAGTTATCTTTATCTTTATTTTACTGTGATAATACTCTTTCATTCCATGGTAGAGGGGGTGTGTATTCATATACATACACATATACAACTTCTTTATGAAGGTGTGCTTATTTAATTTCATCCTGCCTGGACTAAAGGTGTTCTTGTTCAGTCATTTTTCAGTCATGTCCAACTCTTCTGACCCCGTTTTGGGTTCTCTTACAAAAGATACTGGAGTACTTTGCCGTTTCCTTCTCTAGTTCATTTTATAGATGAGGAAACTGAGGCAAACAGGGTTAGGTGACTTGCCCAAGGTCACATAGCTAGTAAGTGTCTGAGGCTGGATTTGAACTTAGGAAGATGAATCTTTCTGACTCCAAGCCCTGCCCTCTATCCACTGTACAACCCAGCTCCCTCACAGGTAGTTCCACCTTAGTCCCTTTGTGGTATGCATAGAATCAACTATCTCTTGTTCAGCACACTTGCAGGTAAATAAGAAAACTTTTTTTTGGAAAGGTAAAGAAGGTGATAGAGGAAATAAAAGTAATTTCTTTCAGTTTATAGATCATTGCTCTCCAGCAAAAGCTACTTTCCCTTCCCCCCTAAAAAAACAATCATGACAAATTTGAAATCTTTTCTAATTAGAATTTTTAAAAAAAGATGGAAATGAGCAAAATATTAAAAGGAAGATAGATAAAAGGAGGGGGCAGATCATAGAATAACGCAGTGAATTAGGTAAGGGTTAGGTAGTTCACCCCCTTCCTTATAGTGCTGTATTGTGTTGTGTTTTGTTTTTTTCAATTAAAGGAAGGAGATTCTGTAATCTACTTCATTAACTAGTTCTAGTTTTTTTTTTCCTTTAGCAACCTCATGGGAAGGAAGTTAATATTTCACATACTTCAGTGTTAAATGACTGAACCAAGATATTTAAGATCTAAAGATATTTATTTCTGTTTTGGCAGAGCCTTTCAGAACTGTAAGTTTACATTTAATAGTGTGTCTCAGGCTTTCAGGCTAGGACCATTTCATTTTACAGATGAGGAAACTGAGGTTCAGAGAAAGGAAGTGCCTTGGCTAAGGTCAGTTAACTGTATGGCAGACCAGGGGGTTTAAATATCTTTTTTTACTTTAAAATTTACAAGTTTTACTTTAAAAAAACCTTTTATATTTATCTTTCCACTGTCTCTTCCTACCTTAGGCCTATTTAAGGAATAGATATTTTAAAACCCATATTTCCAAAGTGAGTAATTTTTTTCTTCTAAGTTCTGATATTAAAATTAAAATAAAAAAACTAGTGATATTAAAAATGAATGTCTATAAAGATGGCCCCTTGATGTGTTCTCACATTTTGTCTTTTAAAAAAATTTTTTTTATAAATTTGTTTATTTTTAGTTTTCAGTATTTACTTCCACATGATTTTGAGTTCCAAATTTTCACCCCATCTCACCCCTCCCCCCACCCAAGATGGCATTCTCACATTTTGTCTTAAGTTACATATAGTCACAGACATTTTTTGTTTGAAATAATAGCCATCATAAACTTCCTGTATCCTGTTACAACTCCATCAGCAGTTGCCTAAGTCATAAATTTGAATAGTTTTAATTCCTAATAAAATGCCACGGAGCATCTCTAATGACTTTTTCATCAAAGAAGTTGAAGAGTAATCTGTGTACTTTAGTGGTCTCAAACTTTCCTGTGCTTTTGACTTACTAAGCTTCTTCAACTTTAGATGTAAAGTGATTTTTAAATCCTCTCTGAATTTAATTTCCAAGTAACTAGTATGTCCTGATTTTTCTACTCACCCGTCTAAAGTATCTCACTGTCCACTCCCTGGGCCTTAGCTCTGGGTCCTCAGCTCTTATAAATAACTCATGAGGTACCCAATCATTTTGCGACTATTAACCAATTTTTCCCTTCCTGTTAATCCAATCCTAATCTCAGTCTCAAACCAAATCTCTTGGAATTTGTGGTTTGAAACTGAAGGGAAATTTAGAGGTCATCGAATCACATCATTTCAGCACAGTGATAAAAAAATTAAATTCCAGAAAAGTTGTCTTGCCTCAGTTCACACAGCAAATTAAGATTATAGTTAGGATTGTACAGATGTCTTATGAGGGAATAGAGCTTCCCAGGTCAGTCTTCTTTTCATTATGCTGTTTTCCTTGAAACAGTGGAATTTCTTGTCTTTCTTTTCGAATTCTCCCACTTGTTCAATGTGACTTAGTAGTTGATGTCACTATTTTCTCTGAGACAAGAAACTTTGAGAGGAGATAACATGAAGAAGTGGAAAGAGTCCATTTTAGGCCTTATCCACTATAACCTGTGAAAATTACCAATCATGTCATAAAGCCCTCTTGTTTCTTTTATTAATACTACTTACAGTCATCTCTTTTCTCTTTTTGGAATTAAGGTCCTTGGAAAATGCTGAATTATTACAGTATTGTCATTGGCTTATGTAAGGCTAGGGGATGCAATAGATGTTTTAGACTTGGAATAGAAAGGCCTGAGGTCAAATCCAGTCTCGGATGCTTACTAATGGCTGTGTGACACTGGGTGAGTCAATGTAATTCAGTTCAGTAAACATTTATTGAGCACCTCCTACGTGTCAGGCACTGTGCTAAGTGCTGGGGATACAAATAAGAAAAAGAAAGGTAGTCTCTGTACTCAAGGAGCTTATAGTACAGTGGGGAAACACAACACACAAGAGGAAACTGGAAAGGGGTGTGGGATGGGATACAGGGGAGTACCGGATGTTGGGGTATCTTGTTCCGTGGAGTCTATTTAGACCAAGGATTGCTGCAGATGCAAAGTAGAGTCAGTTACAAAGTCCAGATTCTGTGCTCTATAAAGAAAGGTTACTTAGCCTTCCTCAGCTTCAGTTTCCTCCTCTATAAAATGGGGGAAATAATAGTTCCTGCATCCCAGGGTTATTGTAGGGATAAATTGAAATAATAATTGTTTGTTTTCTGTTTTTGCTTTTTAGTGAGGCAAGGGGAGTTAAGTGACTTGCCCAGGGTCTAAGAGCTAGTAGGTGTCAAGTGAAAATTTCTTTTTTTTTTTCTTCTTTGCTAGACAATGAAGTTGAGTGACTTGCCCAGGGTCACACAGCTAGTAAGTGTGAAGTGTCTAGGCTGGATTTGAACTCAGGTCCTCCTGACTCCAAGTCCAGTACTCTATCCACTGTGCCACCTAGCTGGCCCTAAAATGGAATAATGATTGTAAAGTCATTTGTAAATCTTAAAGCACTATGCAAATGCTAGCTATTATTATTAAGACAATTTTGTAATGAACCCCATAGATTCAGGCCTTATAAAATTTGCTTTGTGTCTATGATCCGGTCTCAAAATTTTAGAGGCTAGGAGAAATTTTGGTCTTTCAAGGGAAAAAAAAAAAGGAGGTAGGGAAAAGTGGAATGTTGCAAAAATGCCATTGATTCCTTGTTATAAGTAGAACTCTAAATTCAGACCACTGAGACTCCATAGAAAGGTCTTGAAGTATTTTCTAGAAAGGCTCAGAAGGACCTGGTATTTCCTATTCCATGTAGTGGGAAAACTAAAGCCCTGGAAACCAGCAGCCTTTTTACATATTCTCTACTCTCCATCTCCCTATACATCCTACAATCTCCAGGTGGTCCCCACTTGATTCACATTTGTCACTTTTCAAATTGTTCTAGTAGTAAAAGTGTGTATTTATATATTTTGAGATTAAAATCATATGGCTAATGGTAGTCCCTGTGATGAAATTGCTCACCAAAAGAATGATTAGGAATCTTCAGATACCGTAATGAAAATGTTTAATTAAGTCTTACTCTAGGTCATCACTTTGAGAAATGGCCAGAACTCTGGGAGGGCCTCTTTTGGGGGTCCCCCATTCCTAGAGAAGCTGTCTGGGAAGGTAACTATGAGAGTTATTCATACATCTCACTTTCATATTTGACCTTATCCTATTTTTCTAATTACTTTGTTGATGTCCCCTAACCTTGACAAGCCATCACTTTGCTTAATTACTTGCTTTGTTTGCAGTCTGACTCCATTTGCTCCCACTTTTCCTGCAGATTGTATTCCTGAAAGAATAATCTTTGTAACAATTCAATTTGACACACATTTATTAGGTGCTGATGGTATGCTGAGCACTGACCTAGGTGCTATAAAAGATCCAAAGTTTACATAAGACAGGATCCTTTCCATCCCAGAGCTCATCATAGGGTTAACATAAGCAAGATAACTATAATACACCATAATATTCCAGTCAGAGAGGTACAAAACTCAATTCTATAAGAAGTCCAAGGAGAAGGTGATTAATTATAAGTGGAAGGGAGGGAGAGATCTTCATGGGGGACG